GGCCGGGCTGAGGGTCTGGAGGCCGGATCGGGTTGAGGGTCGGGACGGCCAGCAGGCGCCGGGAGCGCGGAGGCAGCGGGGAGGGGCTCCGTGGGCCGCGGCGGGGTTGAGGTGCAGCAAGGATGTACCGGGGGCTCGCGCCCACTCTTGGTGCAGCCTCGGGCTCCGGCTCGGACTCCGTGCAAGATGGCGGCCGTCCTGCTCGGCTCGCACCGCCCCGCCTCCCGCCCGCGACGCCAGCGCGGGCCAATGAGCGCCCAGGCTGGGGGCGGGGCCCGTGGGCGCCGAGGCGGGGGCGGGGCCCGAGGTAGGGGCGTGGCTGTAAGACGAGAGGTGTGCCATTGACTAAGCAGAGAGGCAGGGTTCGGGGCGGAGCCCGAGCGGCAGGACCTCCGAGCGGCCTAGGGTCCTAGTTCGCAGGCAGCGGCGGCGGGGGAGGGGCAGCGGGCGCGGGAACTCCATGACGGACACTGGGGACAGGGCGCGGCAGGGTAGGGGTTTGGGGAACGGAGAGGACGGAGCAGATCCCGGGACTCGAAGCGTCTTCTCACCTGCAGGCCCAAGTCCGGTCAGCAGCCCAAGGGTGGTCCTCTCAAAGACAAACCGCCGTGGAGGAAGAAAACTGGAAAGCCTGGAGGTTCTGAGGACTGGGAAAGAGAGTCAACCCTGGAAGCAACAGGAAGGTGTTGCTTCACCAGAGCACACAACTGAAAACGTTTCCAACAGATGAGGAAATGGCCTAAGGGAGTTTCATAAAGGAGAGCTAACAGGGAAGGCCAGATCCTTAGGGTCTGTGGAACAAAGCGGCCTCCTCTGGAGGGCCTTACCTACACAATACAGGGGAGGGGGAAGGCCACATATGCATGGAGGACAGCATTGTACACAGATGAGGTAAAGCCCCCTGGAACAGTGCTCCAAGTGCCATCCTCTCACCTGTCATCATGTACAAGGTGAACTTTGGAGGGGAGACAGCAGCTGGTGTGTCCTCAGCAGGAGGGAGAAGGAAGCTGTCCAAAGAAAGGCTCACCAGCCACGCACACAGGCCTAGGAGTGGACAATCAGAGCTGGGGAAGATGGTACAGATAAGAAGCAGAGAGCCAGGCTCAGTGGCTCAGCCTGTAATCCTGCACCTTGGGAAGCTGAGGTGAGTGGAGTGCCTGAGCCCGCGGGTTCTAGACCCGCCTGGGCAACTTGGTGAGATCTCATCTCTACAATAAATTAAAAAAAATAAATTAGCCGGGTGTAGTAGCAGGTGCCTGTAATTCCGGCTACTCGGAAGGCTGAGGCAGAAGGATCACCAGAGCCCAGCAGGTCGAGGATGCGGTGGACAGGAGCGGCCACTGTACTCCAGTCTGGGCGACAGAGTGAGACTCCAGACTCAAAAAAAAATTTAAAAAAAGAAGCAGAGAAAAGAGGGAAAGGCCAAGGCTAGTGGAGACCAGCCCAGGCTGTCCGACCTTCAGCACTGCCAACTCACTCCTGAATCCTGCAGGTCCCAGGATTCCAGCCTGAGACACATGAGGTCACTAGGCAAATGAAGCCAAGGACACACCTAAGGCTAGGCCAGACCTGCAACTCCTAGAGATATGGCTCACAGCAGGCACTGGACAAAGAGCCTGTCACAGCAGAGGGGCCCACTGCTGGAAAAACAGTGGTCGCTGTCCAGTGCTACCATTTCCACTTTCCTCATGGAGCTGCTGCCATGCTCAGAGTGGGATCCAGACCCAGCCTTCTGCCCCCCAGCCCCAGATCTGCCCTGGGAGCCCAGCCAGGGTCATGGGCTGGGCAAGTGCCCAGGAGGTAACTCAGCAGAATTCCTGCTGGTTGTCCCCTTGCATAGCCTCTGTAAGAGAAGCCGGCCAGCAAAGGTTCAGATGAGGAAAGAAAACTACAGGAAGGTCAAAAGTCCAGCCAGACCACACAGGGAGAGGGCAGAGTACAGGCTTCTCAAACTGCAGCAACTGCTGAGCCAAGTGTCTGCCCTCCAGAGGCAACACCACCCTTCTTGGCTGTGCCCTGCGCTCCTGAGGGCTGCCTGTGTGGACAGTGTTCAAGGGCTGGAGGGAGCAAAAAGAGATCAGGGACATCCCCACTCCCTCCCCCCAATCCATGGGATCCCTGCTGCCTGGCTCTTTCCCTCCATCCAATGCCACTGTCTCCCTCAAAGTGGCCTTCTCTGCACACTCTTTCCGGGTTCCTGTGACCATTTCCTCCCTCTTCTGTGCGGGCCAGGGATGTTACGACCTTGGGGCATCCTATACTACCCTGAGGCTCCCCAAACTCTGCTCCCCCCTTTGTTATTGTCCCTTTACTAAACCCTCTGCTGATTATCCTAAATTGAGTGTGTCTCCTGTTTCCTGCTGAGCCCGTGACTGGTACAATCACCCACCCTGGATTTCTGAGATGCCCTGGCTTGCAAGAATCAGTCCCACCACTGCACAGGCTGACCTGGCTCTGCATGGGGAAGATGGACAGATCAGTGTGTTCTCCACATCTTCCTTCTACCTCCAGTCCCAGCCAAGCATGAGGCCACTCTCCACTCGCATTCGGTCTGCTTCAGCCCACCGGCCAGCCTTCCAGTGTTCCAAGTCCAAGTGGCTCAACACCACTTGGAGCCTCATTCCCTCAGGGCACTCCTCCTTTGTGACTTCACCCACTGAAGTCACTTGGGAGACAGCGCTGAATGTTCCACCCCAGAATCTTGGCCTCTAGGAGGCAGGGACAGCAGGCCTGGCCAGCCCAGAGACTCTCTGTCCAGGGTGTAAATGTCCCGCAGAGATGTAGAGGGCAGCCTCAGAGGCACTGGGCGTTCCTGGCACCATGGATGCTGCTGCTGTCCTCAAGCGACAAGGCTATATCATGGGGATACATTTAGGAGAGGGCTCTTATGCAGAAGTCAAATCAGCTTACTCTGAGTGCCTGAAGTTCAACGTGGCAGTCAAGATCATTGACCGCAAGAAAGCCCCCACGGACTTCTTGGAGAAATTTCTCCCCCGGGAAATTGAGATTCTGACCATGCTAAACCACCGCTCCATCATCAAGACCTACGAGATCTTTGAGACATTAGATGCCAAGGTCTACATCATTATGGAGCTCGGGGTCCAGGGCGACCTCCTCGAGTTCATCAAAACCCGGGGTGCCCTGCACGAGGACGATGCTCGCGAGAAGTTCCACCAGCTATCCTCAGCCATCAAGTACTGTCACGACCTAGACGTCGTCCACCGGGACCTCAAGTGTGAGAATCTTCTCCTCGACAAGGACTTCAACATCAAGCTGTCCGACTTTGGCTTCTCCAAGCGCTGCCTGCGGGACGACAGTGGCCGACTGACATTAAGCAAGACCTTCTGTGGGTCAGCAGCCTATGCAGCCCCTGAGGTGCTGCAGGGCATCCCCTACCAGCCCAAAGTGTATGACATCTGGAGCTTGGGCGTGATCCTCTACATCATGGTCTGTGGCTCCATGCCCTACGACGATTCTAACATCAAGAAGATGCTGCGCATCCAGAAGGAGCACCGAGTCAACTTCCCACGCTCCAAGCACCTGACAGGCGAGTGCAAGGACCTCATCTACCGCATGCTTCAGCCTGACGTCAGCCGCCGGCTGCAGATCGATGAAATCCTCAACCACTGCTGGGTGCAGCCCAAGACACGGGGCCTGTCCACTGCAGCTGTCAACAAGGAGGGGGAGAGCTCCCAGGGCAATGAGCCCTCACGGACCCATGAACCCATCTCTGACAAGAGGTCTGCTACCAATCTGAAGCCTGGGGTGAGGCACAACTCGAGGCACAGCCTGAGACAAAACCTGAGGAGACAGCAGTGCAAGCACCCGAGCAGCCAAAGATCTTCGGCTCCACCGGTGAGCAGTTGGCCAAGGAGGACAGAAGAAGGGCTCCCGCCACACCTTCAGAGACACAACTCATAAACCTCTCGTGGCCCAGGGGGCCAGCAGAGAATGAGGCAGAACTCATGGCTTCAAGCCTGAGTTTGGAAGAAATCAAGGGATGAGCCAGAGAAGGAAGACGGTCCCAGATATATCGATATTTTCGTCAGTTTCTTCTCCCTCCCTTTGAACTTGGTAACCCCTCTGGCCAAAGAAGCAATAAATCTATATTAGTGCAGCACCCAAGGTGGATGTCTTTGCCCTGAGTCCTGGGCTCCACCTGGCTTCTCACTTGTATGGAGCTGTGATGCCTCACTTGCTCCGGAAAATATTTCCCAGTTTGTGCAGCCCAGACTGTGAGCTCAGGCCCTGGCTAAAGTAGCTGAACCAATTAGAGGCTGCAGCCAAGGACAGGGGAGACCTGAAGGGTCAAGGGCCAGAACTGAGAGCTAAGTGAGGGAGCTGCTATTTCCAGAGGAATGCTCTAAAGTGCAGTGCTGGGGTGAGGACAGGACACAGAGAGGACAAGACAGAAGGGCAAGGAGGTCAGGGCCTCTCTAGTCGGGAGGGCCGGCTCTGTATGCAACTGGGGCTGAGGGTCTGGACAGGCTCACCCTCTCCATCCCCACAAGGCTGCCACTGGGAGTCAGGGGACACTGCAAGGAGGCAGGCGGGCAGCCTCTCCATCCTTCCTGAAGTCCCCAACCTGCAGGGCTATTTGCTTATTCTGTACTCTGCCCACCATGGGTCCCCCACATCCAGTCAGCACCCAGTTTTCAACAGTGCCAGAGTCACCCCACCCTGTGGTCATTTCTCAGCCCTGAACAGGTGGAAGCTATGCTGGATGTCCCAGTTACACTCCACCTGGGCATATCCCATTCTCCTGTGTGGCCTTAATCACACCCTGTTCCCCTCTAGTCCCAGCCTCTCACCAGAGGCAACATCCTTCCCAGCACTAAGAAGCTGACACTGCATGCCTGGTCCCCACCAGCAGGGAAAGACAGCCATGGAATCCTGCAACAGGCATGGGCTTGCATTTGGGATCACCAGCTACTGTGTGCTGCATACCCTGCATGTACAGTGTCTCAGGCAGGTCTTAACTCGACGCTGGCCCCTTTCTCTTCACTTTAACTGCATCTGAGGGTTTGACACACACAAAGAACAAGAGCTTTCAGACTTACCTCTCCGCTGGCCTGTGTCTCTATCCTGGGAAGACCTTGAAGCCCCAGTCCTCTGAGAGAAGAGGGATCCAGTGAGAGCCTGGACCGGCCCTCTTTGCTCCCCTCCCTACATGTAGTCTACTTCCCTGCCAGGCTCTCCCTCTCCTCACAGCATCCCCTCCCTTCCCATCACCTTCCACAGTGGCCTGAGGCCCCGCACACCCAATCTGGCTCCCACTGCCCATGGGAAGGAACCCATGTCTGGCCCCCTCCTGTGGCCCCACATCCATTCTCTGCTAGCCTCTCCAGGTAGCCGTCACCCCTGCACCCCCATCACACACATGGGTCAGAATTAAACTTGGGACTCGCCCCAGCAGGCTCTGGCCATCTCTCAAGCCTGGCTGAGGGGCTGCCACCTCCACAAAGCTGCCTGGGGGATCCTTGTTGACATTCAGGAGCCTGCAACTGTGCAGTCTGCCAGCAGGCCTGGGTGTGCTCAGGGTCTAAGTGACACTGGAGGAGTTACCTGTTTTTCCCATGAAGAAAGTTACAGTGGAGCGGCCAGGTAGGCTGGGTGACAAGTCCTGAGTAGCCTCCACACCATAATCCCTGCAAGCCTGCGCTGGTCTCTAGGGCAGCGGGAGGCACAAGAGCATGGACTGCAACCCATGCAGGTGAGCTGGAACCGCAGGGACTGCAGAAGGAGCACCTGCTGTGTGCTTCATGAGGGGGAAACTGCTCAGAGGGTGGGTGACCTGTCAGTCACACGGCCCAGAAAACAGGGCCCTTGTGACTCCTCCACAAGTGGCCTCACCATGCCAGGAGCCCAGGCCTGCTGGGCTTAGCCCTGGCTCGAACCTGTTCAGGGACCCTCAGAAGTGTTAGAATCAGAACCTCAACGTGGCTTTCTGTCTGTGCTCCTACCACACCACACCCCTTCAGGCAATCCCATGCAGTTGTCATCCTCATCCTCCTCCACCAGGCTAGTTCCTCCGATTCAGCTTCCCCCGGCCCTCCTGAAGTCCAGTTCCTCATTGCCTGTCCTCACAGCTCAACAATGACGTGCTGGCATAGTCACCATCGTGCATGCACACATGCTGGTGTGATATTGAGCCTCCCAGTCTCTGGATTCCAGGAAGGCGTGGGCTGGCTAGTTCATCAGTGTACCTCAGCACCTAGAGCAGACCCTCGATGACTGTGGGGTGAATGGGTAAATGGGTGTCCACTTTATAGAGGAAACCAAAATTCAGAGGGAATGGATTTCCCAGAATGTGCAGGTTCCGGATCCATAGAACTGCAACCTTGGGAGCTACGCTGGGGGCCCCGAGGCCCAGTACAGCCGTCCGCCGCAAATACATCAGGAATCCCAGCCCTGTGTGCACATGCTAGATGGAGACACACAATTCACACCCTGGCAGGTGCGCTTTAGTGAGGCTGACATCTGCCTCCTCCAACATGGCCCCCAGGGACCAGAGAGGCCACACTGTCCTGGGCAAGGGCAGAGTGTAAAGAAGCAGAAAGCACAAAGAAAGGGAGAACCAGTTGGCAGAGTCAGCTAAGAAGCAGATATGCAGAGAGATGCCCCCGATAGGGAATCTGGGAGCACAAGGAAAGGCAGTGGAAAGAGGGCTGGATATGGGGATGTGTCTTGTGTCCCTGCCTGCAAACCTTCACAGCCTGCACTTTCTAGGACACAAAGGAGTGAAGTTCTGGTCATTTCAGCAAAAGAGCCTCCAGGAGAAAGGAATGCACTGAGCTAAAGCCATTAGCCACGGATGCCATAAGAGCTCCAAGTGGGATGCAGGGAGGCAGTTGCTGCCGGAAGGTGGTTGCCGTGGCAGGCCCACCCTGCCCACCCCAGGCCTCCAGACTCAGTGTGCTCCCTGCACACTCCACACAGGGTGTGCGCCCACAGGCCATACCTTGGGCCAAGACGTCACATATGCCTAGCACATCCTGCCCCTCTTGTCAACCTGGTGGAGCCTGTTGATCCTCTGCAGCCTGGCTCTACTGTCATTTCCTCTTTGAAGCCTTCTGTTTGGACTCCCCCCCACCATGTAGAAATAGGCCTCCCTCCCTCTCCCTGAACACCAAGCACATGGCTAGCCTGTCCTGGAGGCTTCCTGTGGGCCAGGGTGCCTGTGATGGATAACATGAACATCAGGAGATGTGTACAGGATGCTACCTTTCCCAAAGCAAAAATCCATACATGCCCTCAAAAGGAATTTTTGTGCTGTGTCCAGGTGCAAAAGGCAACCTGAGATGCCATGCCAGGGTTCCAACAGGCCGCTGCTACCTGCTTCTCACAAAGGTCCAAAATGATGTGACTCGGGACCCTTCCTCTTCATGGCCTGCTCTTCACAGCTGATGGTCTGGATGCTGCCATCCCCCAGGACGCCTCAGCACCAAGGCCCTGCCCACTCACTGACTGCACACCAGACACAGACCTGCCCTTCCCCATCTCTAGCTGATCCTGAGGCCCGTCTGTGTGAGCCTCCTCTCTCCAGGTCAAAGGCACTGGCCCCATTCTCACCCTAAAGCCAATTCTCCTCTCTCTGCCAGTGACCATCTTAAAACAGAACTTGGGGCATGCCTCCTCCTGCCCCGCACCCTGTAGCGGCTGCCTATCACTTAGAGAAAAAGCCCGAACTCCTCTTCCACATCCCTCTTGACTAGTATTAATCAGCTGTTCTCAGAAAAAGCCCTCTCATCTCTAAGCTCTTTCCCACCTGCCTTACCACCCTCTCTACCTAACTGATGCCCTGCCCCTCCTCTCAGCCTGCCCCACCCCTGGGACATGCATCCACCTGCCCCAGGCCCTAGCTGGCACACGGTGCAACCTTGTCTGCTGTCTCCCACCCATCACACGCCCCTGCTTGCTGGTATAGCAACTCACCTGCCCAACTGTCTACCCTGAGGTGCCTGCCAGCTCCTGCTGCCAAACATGGAGTTGCTTTTGTCACCAGGCTTGGCACCATTGATGACCCGGCTAGTCCAGGGTAAACCCTTCCAGGCACCACCAGTCTCACGGACATAAGTCCTAGAGAGAGCTTTTCTTCGTACCCCAAAGAAGCTGCAGGAAATTGGCCCTAGTGGGATCAAGACCAATGCCGCGCCAGGTAAGGGAAAAGGACTTGGGAATGACACTCTGGCTGGACTGCCTCCCTCGGCCTGACCCGTGGCAGGGAAGCCACCACAAAGAAGAGGAGCAGAGTTACCACAGTCCTGGGGGCCAGCTTCCTCACAGTGAGTGGGGAGTGGGCACTCCTGTCAGGCTGACCTGGATTCCAGGAGCCCTAAGCCCTCAGCTCAGGCCCTCCAGCCGCAGGCTGGCTTTATGATTTCATTTGCTGAAGTCATCTGGAGACAATGCTGAGCATTCCACCTCTCCAAGTGCAGGCCCAGCCCAGCCCAGCCAGAAGCCTCCTGTGGAGTAAATGAGGACAATGTCCCCTGGCCCACGTGTGGGGGGGATGTAGAGGGCAGTGGCGCCAGCCGCTCCTGGCACCATGTACGATGCCGCAGTCCTAAGGAAGAAGGGTTACATTGTGGGCATCAATCTTGGCAAGGGTTCCTATGCAAAAGTCAAATCTGCCTACTCTGAACGCCTCAAGTTCAACGTGGCGGTCAAGATCATCGACCGCAAGAAAACGCCCACTGACTTTGTGGAGAGATTCCTTCCTCGGGAGATGGACATCCTGGCAAACGTCAGCCACCGCTCCATCATCAAGACCTACGAGATCTTTGAGACCTCAGGTGGGCGGATCTACATTGTCATGGAGCTCGGTGTCCAAGGCGACCTTCTGGAGTTCATCCAGTGCCGGGGCGCCCTGCACGAAGATTTGGCACGCAAAATGTTCCGCCAGCTGTCCTCAGCCGTCAAATACTGCCACGACCTGGATGTTGTCCACCGGGACCTCAAGTGTGAGAATCTTCTCCTTGACAAGGATTTCAACATCAAGTTGTCGGACTTCGGCTTCTCCAAGCGTTGCCTGCGGGATGGTAATGGGCACATCATCCTCAGCAAGACCTTCTGTGGGTCGGCAGCCTATGCGGCCCCTGAGGTGCTGCAGGGCATCCCCTACCAGCCCAAGGTGTACGACATCTGGAGCCTGGGTGTGATTCTCTACATCATGGTCTGCGGCTCCATGCCCTATGATGACTCCGACATCAAGAAGATGCTGCGCGTCCAGAAGGAGCACCGTGTGGACTTCCCCCACTCCAAGAACTTGACGGGTGAGTGCAAGGACCTCATCTACCGTATGCTGCAGCCCGACGTCAACCGGAGGCTGCACGTTGATGAGATCCTCAGCCACTCATGGCTGCAGCCCCCTAAGCCCAAAGCCATGTCTTCTGCCTCCTTCAAGATGGAGGGGGAGGACAAGTACCGGGCCGAGGGCAAACTGGACACCCGACCAGGCTCCAGGCCCGAGCACCGGCCTGACCACAAGCTCGGAGCCAAAACCCAGCACCGGCTGATGGTGTTGCCGGAGAATGAGGACAGGGCAGAGGACAGGCTGGCCGAGACCTCCAGGCCCAAAGACCATTACATCTCCAGAGGTGAGGTGGGGAAGGCGAGCACCTAGCAGTGGCGAGGGCCCCAGGGGCATGGCCATAGTTGAGTCCACGTAAACTAAGTAACCAGATAGGAGCTGAAGAAGGCACAGGTGCAAGAAACAAGTAAAATTCGTCCATTAAACCATTATTTTGATTACGTTCTATTAGCTTTCTTCCACTTAGTAGCAAAGACATTCATTACTGACCGGCAAATAAACCACAGAGTGTATACAAGCCTCGAGAGTGCCCAGTGAGGAATCTTTTTCTCTAGGACTCAGCCAACTGCCCTGCTACATGGGGGTCTCCATCGTAGGATCCCAGGACCTGTGTTCAGCTGCAGGCTGACTCACGGTGTGGCTTTGTGGTCCACTTGCCAGGCCCATACCTGTCTCCCTCTAACCTGCCCCGTTCTCAATGCCCCAGGGCTAAGCAGCTCAGCCTTTCCCTCACCTCACACAGCGCAACCACCTGGACCTGCCCTGCACCCTTACACGGCCTCTGCTCAGTGTCCCCATCCTGGTATTCGAGACTGGCGCCCTGGGACTCTCAAGCCCCCCAACCCCTCACACAGTCAGGCCCAGCTGAGACTTCCACCTGCACCCTCCCCACCCTGCGTCCCAAGCCACTCGGCAGACCTCAGTGATTCATGCTGGCCAGTCTCCTGTGCTTCCTGTTCAGCTTCCCATCACTCCCTAAAAATGCTCCCACACACCAAAGTGGTCAGCATTGGACAGTGCACCTCCTCCTTTTGCCTACTCCAACCTCTCTCTCCGACTTCCTGGGGGATCCCTTGGGCTAAAGCCCACCCTTTCTTACGGGAGGAGCATTGTAATCCCTCTCTCTCTTCCTTTAACAATTCCAGTCGGGGCCCAACCTTACCTGAATCCTGCAACCCTCTTCACCTCACCCCCCATGCTCCATGGATCCCAGGGCGCAACTAGGGACTGTCCCCCTAGGAGCTTGCAGAAACTCACTGTCCAGGAGCACAGGTTAGCAGAGACCCCAAACAGGCGTCAGGCAGCAGGTATCAGGCACCAACAGGCCTCCAGAGACCTTCAGTGTCCTCAGGGAGTGGGTGGGAGGGCAAATGCAGGACAGAGGGACTGCCTAGTACAGGGCTGGGTACGTTCAAAACAGGAAGGACTCTAGTGTGAACAGAGGTCACGGATGCCCCTGAGCAATGTGGGCCCCCATCCCTGTGGCCCAGAGGGCACAATCTGTAACCTCCACTTGAGACCTGAAGACACTGGCCTGTGAGCCAGGCCATGGTTCTGGCACCAGCTGCCCACCCCTTCAGCCCTGCAGGAAGCAGGCTCACATGACCAGCCTCCAGAGGGTTGGGCACCCATGCCCTCAGCTCACAGGCTGAGTATACCCCATGGTGCACAGAGCGCTTACGGGGTCTGCACGGTACCTCACCCTGTTTTTTCTACAGCCCAGTTACTGTTATCTGGGGGCTCCTGCTGGTAGCAGTGATGACAGGGTGAGGCTGGGGCCTCAGCAGCGGAGGCTGAGCAGAGCCTATGGCAGAAGGGTGAGCAGAAGGGCATGACGATGGAGATGGCCCACTGCACCTGGAGGTGACAGCTGAGGCTTCTGGAAAGGTGCCTCACCCGGGTAGGGCCTGATGTGCAGCCCCCACACAGTCCTGTAACCAGGAAACCACGAGGGGATCAGGTCCAGCTGAGAGCTGTGGACCTCAACCCAGAGCCCAGGCAAACTCGTGGGGCCACAGCTTCTGAGGGCTCCCTCCCTCAGAGGAGTGGAGAACACTGGAGGCCGGTGTGAACTCAGCTCAGAAGGCAGGTTCAGGTGCCACAGAAAGCAATGCCAGTGTTGCCTGGCCTCCCACAGACACCCCATCCACAGCTTCCTCCCCTGAGAGGCTCTAATCTCAAACCCTGTAGTCATGAGGCATGATGCAGGCCCCAGGGTTGGGTGGGGAGCAGAATGGACAGGTGGCCTTGCTAGATTGTGCCAAGTGTTCTTTAATGAGTGTAGGGAGGGGGATGTTTAAATAGAAAACAGCCTCAGCAAGTCCCTGTGATATGACATGGGTGTCTGTGCCCTGTGCCGGCCTGGCTGCAGCACGGCACCTTTCTTCTATGACTTCTGGGATGGTCAACCGCTGTTGGCCCGGGCCTGGGTTCCCAGAAGGCTGGAGTCCTCTGCTGGGTGCACAGCTGCCCTGCAGGGTCCACAGAGTGTCCACAAGCCCAGCCCGGGCCAGCTCTAAAAGAAGTCCGAGGCTTTGCGCCGAGCCGGGAGCTGCAGCAGGTTGTCTGTGATGGAGGCCGGGTCCTGTGTGAGGGGGGTGTGTGCAGCAGATCCTGGAGCTGGTGTGCTTGTGGGGGTCTGCAGCCCACCGGCTGGGGTCTTGAGGTGGGTCGAGCGTGCTGGGGATGGCGTGTAACTGGCCCGCAGGGCCCGGTCCGTGTACTTGCTGGCTGTCCTGCTCACGAGGCGCTGAAGGGCCGGGGACATAGCTGGGCTCAGTCCTCTGGGGGTGAGGCTGGGGTGGAAGAACGGGCAAGAGAGGCAGGGTTAGGTGGGCTAGGTGCTGCCAGCATCAGGGACTCCTTCAGCAGAGCATGGGCAGACATGTGGTCATTCTGACCTGAGGTGGACAGCACTGGATGGCCTGGCAGTGAGGCCAAGGGGCGGTGCTGCTCGTGGTTATGGGACTGAGGTAGACGCCCAGACCTTTGAGAGTTGGAGTCCCCACCCCTCTCCCAAGAAAATGATGATATCTCTCCATAGGGCTGACAGGAGCTCACAGTGGGACTCCAGATCTAAAAGTGCCTCTTGGGGCCTGGCCAAGGAGGATGTAAGGGAAAAAAAACAGAAGGGGGGCCCATGTCCTGGTCCACATACAGCCACGCGCTGCACCTGCTGCAGATTCCCCAGCATCCATACTTCTGGGTGGGGTGGGGGGTGAGTGGGAGCCTGACAGAGACACCCTCCCACCCGCCACAGGTCAGGCTGCCCTCACCTGGCCAGGTTCTCTGTCACTCTCCGCAAGGCCTCTTGCTTCTTGGCCCGGTTCTTGGCAGCGGCCTCATTGGCCATCTTCAGTCCCAGACGCTCCCTGCGGCCTGGCTCCAAGATCTAAAAGGCAGTAGGTGTGTGGGTGGCCTGTGTTGGCCCCACTATAAGCCATGCAGTTTCTAACACAGAGAACTGCTGCCATGGACACCAGTCTGTCTTTGTGGCCTCCATGATTCCAATGACCCACTGTCACCTCTCCCTAAAAGCCACCCCACCTCGCCTGACCTGCGGACTTAAGCAGAGCCAGGCACTCTTTGCCTGTTCTCATGTTCCTCCCAAAGCCAGGACTGCCAAGTTATGAGCCTCTGACAATCTTTTAGAAAATGAGTGTCTCACATGCATGATCATTGCAGCATTATTTGCAATAGCAAAAAACATAGAACCAACTGTGCTGCCCATCAAAAGTGAACTGGGTTAAAAAAAATGGTACGTATACACAATGGAATATCCATAAAGAAAGACAAATGTATGAACTTTGCAGCAACTTGGATGGATCACATAAACAAAGAACTAGTACCACATGTTCTCGCTCATAAGCAGTGAGATATGAACAATTATCAAAATACTATAAGAAAGGAATTGCCAGCAGTAGTAAACTACCAAGGGAGGAGGACACACCATCAATAAGGGTAACTGATCTCATAACAGGTGAAAATTGGACACTAAAGTGATGCCCAAACTTTATCTGTACAATGACCATTGATATACCTAACCCAGAATTGTAGCTAACTTTAAAATAAAAATTAAAAGCTGGGCTCGGTGGCTCAGCCTGTAATCCTGTGCCTTTGGGAGGCCGAGGTGAGTGAATTGTCTGAGCCCGCGGG